ACACACACACACACACACACACCAGCCTGCTGAGCCTGCCGACTCATCCTTAGGCGACAGAGCTCAACCAGCCGCTACCTGTTTAGCTTAACAACAATAGCTACGTTGTCGGGGAAGGTTTAAATCTGACTTAATATATACCCAACTGGACCAGACCTGCATAATTCTGTTTCATAGCTGCATGGCATTTGGTCTCATGAGAGGCTAAAGAGAGGGCCGATACGCAAATTGAGCCCTAATGCTTGATTCTGACTTTCTGACAACAACAGTTCCCGCAAAAAATGGCCTAGTTCCAAATAAAAGGACAGCTGTTTTTGTTTTGTTTGTTTTGTTTGTTTTTTTGCATTGGGAAATATTTGGCCCTCTAGACATTGGGCACTATGTTAGCTTGAGGGCAAGTAAGTTATATGGTAATATGTGCTGGTGCAACAAGGTTAAGACAAAAGGCACTGATCACAGCCTAACAAGGCCTTATTTAAGGGTTTAAAATGTTCAGGAAAGTCAAGAACTGAGATTTATCCACAATCAGGTTTTAAAACAGAGAATAAGGGTCTTGATTTTGACTTTGACCTAATACTAAAATCAACGTGACAATGGATAAAACATTGTAAACACTTTTTTTTCTTTTATGATAATATTATAGGAATTTCCTAAATGGGACTTGTGTGTGCAAAAGCAGGGAAGCTGAGATCTCTGGCAAGCACAAGAAGATGAGGACTGTAATACTTTTACAGAGAAGAAGAAATGTCTTTAGGAACAAAAGAAAATAAGAAACCTCCGCAATGTGTGAGTGCCTCATGACTTTATGACAGCGTAAGGGCACCGAGGGCAAAAAAAAAACATATTTTCTCCAATACAAAACCAGGCGTATATGTTGGAGGCAGTGAAACAACTCTGATAAAAGCCTGGTTAAGTCGTATTGTTAACCATGCGGCCAATGACCCTTGCTCCGTGGCTCTTATTTGCTCTTGTTGAACCTGCTGCCCTTTTCCATGTTTTTTCTACCTTTTACATGTAGCAATATACTTCCCCTATTGTGAATCCTCCATGAAGTCTTGATTCTTTCCAAGTCAAAGTTCACTGGGTCTCTTTTGTCAACGTCTGCACCTCTGATTGATGTCAATTAATAATGAACAAAGTAGACGTGGGCAGCTTTAACTGAGTAACAATCCAGTGTGATGCAATTAAAAGGACTTCGCTGGGACTCGAGTTCAACTCCTCGTTCCTTGAAGCACCGCTACTGTAGTAAACCGTGCCACAGAGTGATAGTCTCACATAAATGCCAGTGGAACGCTCGGATTGGAAAAGCCGGGCTGTTCGTTCCCGCCCTCACAGGAAGTAACCATTTTGTCTTTCACTCACATTTAATTGGCCAAGTTTACTGACAGCATCTCACTCAATAAGAGTTTATGACTCAGGAGCTTTATGTGTTATTTCTGGAGCTAGAAAAAGGAAGAAAAAAAAGCAAGCTGTGAAACGTGAAAGTCGAGGTGTGAAGTGGTAGTATGTGACTCAGGAGGTTATTGATTGGGACAATAAAAGTGTAATCTGGGAAACTGTGGGGATATTTTGGCATATATTGGTTGTTGACCATAGAAGAGTGTCTCCAGCAGAGAGGACAGGGCAGGTTATGGAGTAATAAGGAAATGGAAAGGCAGAAAATAAAAGAACGTCATCTTTTTTTTGAAGAAAAGTTTAATTTTTTTTTATTTATCGACCGTTTTTTGAGAAATTATTATGCCAAATTTGTTATTACTTTTTGTATTTTAATAAAGGCCAGAATAATAAAAGTACCAAATCACTCAGGCTGTTATTTCTATTTTGTGTCTTTTGCGCCATGTTTTTAACCCTTTAACTTTGAACTATAACGCCTTTTTAAAGTTTGAACTTTGACTTGAGTGATTTCACACCACATGGTCCACTCTGTGAGGCATCTCTGAGATCAGAGTGGAATAATAGTGCAAGCATTTGCCTGAGTAAATATGTGGGGTGTCTGTATGTTTTGTGTGTGTGTGTGTGTGTGTGTCTCTGGAGCTGGTTGATTGTGAGGGTCGTCAAAGTGTGTGAAGGTACACGCAGAGACGGGCACGCACAGAGCAGAGCCGATCCAGTCTAATTAAAAAGCGCAGCGGAGATGTCAGGGGTTCTGTGCAAGTGTGTGTGTGTGTGTGTGTGTGTGTGTGTGTGTGTGTGGCGGCTTCGGCATGATCGGCCGTCAAATGAAACACAGTGCATTCTGTGGGACCTCGGGGTTTCCATTTGAGTATTCGGACACGGCACTCCAACAAACTGTGGCTGTTTTATGTGGGGGGAGAAAAAAAAGTTGATAATTAGTCCCACAGTGGCTGAAGGAGGAGATGGAGAGGAAGAGGAGGAGGAGGAGGAGGAGGGGACGGAGGCACTGAAGGCAGAGAGGAGAGTGCTTAACGCATTTAATACTCCATCCTGATGCTGTCTGGGAATCATTGATCAGTTGCTTTCTTCTGTTGTTGTTTGTTTCTTTTTTATTCAAACTGCTTTTAAATCATTAGTTGAGAACTGCTCAGTTCAAAACAAAAAAGCTAAAATCAGACATTTTCCGATCTTGAGCATCTTTTTGCCATTTTATGTTTTAACTGTGACTTGAAGGTAACATCAAGAACTGTCATTACAGATTTTTCTTCGATTCAGATTTTTCAAAAACATTCAGCTAAATTTACGACTTTAAACTGAAGACATGTAAAGTGTGTTTGAAACATTACAGGTGTTATTTTCAAGCTTTAAATGTATTTTTAAAATGTGTATAGAGAATATATGACTTTTTATTTTTGCATGACAAATGTTTGCAAGGCGTATCTTTTATGATGAAAGATATACTGTACATTTATATTATTGCATATTAAGCCATTTTAAACTTTATTTTGAAAGCACTTTATGTTGCAAATAAGCAACACATTATATCCAGCAAAAATACAAGCCACACCATCCAAGATTTCTTTTTCTGTTTAGAAATGAACAAAAATCCCGATTTTAGAAAAGTTTTGAATTTGCTAAAATTCTGTTCCCTTCCGCAGATCCTTTAAAGGCAARCATGTGAGAGAGTTCAGTGCAGACCTTTAAATCAGTTCCTTTGCAGCTTGACTTTTGCAGTTTTGACAGAAAGCAAATTTAAATCAAGGAAATTTGTGGGGTTTTTTTTCAGTATTTACACTCAACTTCATGATGTTGCAGCACAAACTTTTCCTCCGTGTCGGTCTAACGCGCACAGATAAAAACAAGCCCGCCCCAACCCACCTTGCTGACCTGCGTAGGATGTCTGTGTGTAAATGCTGAAAGCGCACTGTGCGGTTTATGTAAGGCTGCGTTCCCGCCGCTCAGAGGTGTTGCTGGTGCGGGAGCTGGCTCTGGAGCCTGACAGGAGGTCAGACGGCTGAGTGGCAGCAGGAAAAAGCCCGTGTCATGTTTGTTTGGAGGCTCCTTTGTCACCAGCAACACCCCTCCCCCTGCGCCTGCCCTCCTCTTGGCCTTATTTAGCCCCCCCGCCATGTCACGCAGAGGTCAGAGCTAGGACACGCATATAGTGCACAGCAGCTCAGACACACACACACACATGGATTGTAATAGCATGGTAGACTGAATCGTAGATGGAAGTGCCTTGAAGGACCTACTTCTCATTCTCTAGACCTCATTAGCTGCTGATTTATCTCCCCCTCCTTCCTCCTAATGCCCTCGGTGGGTGGATGTGGCGGGTGTGTGAGTGTGCGTGTCAAACGGAGGTACTGCGTGGAACAGAACAAAATAATATTTCTACAGATTAGTGTCTACAGAGAAATGTCCAAAGGATTAAATATTTTAGACTTTTTTTTTGTGCAGAAGTGGCAAATATACACAGGAGTCGTGTCACCCCAGAGTCGCCCACTGTGAGCACACTCGACCTAGGGTCAAACAGATTAATAAAAGATCACACACACACACACATGTACACACATAAAGAGAGAGAGAGGGAGAGCTTTGAACTGATTAGATATTCTGCTCTCCCTTGCTTCATAATCATGACGAGTGCACGGAGTGCTCTGGTTTACCATTATCCATTTAGCAAATTTTTGTCTTGTCTTGCAATAATCTCTTCAAAGCCCCAGTGAGCTTATTATTGTCAAGGAAAAGTGCTTATAGCTGTGCAGAAAGGTAGGATTGTGGAAAGATGGGCAATGTATTTTGCACAATTAATAGTAAAAAAAAAAAGTTTTTAAACAACGTTGGTTTTATTTTAAATTTAAAGATCGTTTACGCCCCCAAAAACCTTTGACACTGAGTTTAAGACATTCAGCTTTGAATGAATTCTGAAAAAACAAAACAAAAAATAAAAAAAATTTAAAGACAGTGAGGTTGTTTGGTAAAGTAGGAACTGTAGCTCTAACACAACCATAGCTGCCCTACATAATTCATTGACTCCTGGGGAAACTGATCTCTCTAGAGAACCTTGCTTTTACCTGATTCCCTCTATACGGTCATCCCAGGAGACAGTTCGGTAGAAAAAAAGTGAAGATGGGGGTGAGGGGAGGGGAGGGGGCTGAGAGGGGTACATTTCGTCATGCATTTTAAGCCGATTTAAAAGTGAGACGCACACACACGAAAAAAGAAAACTTCAAATATCATCAACTAATTAATGAGGACATTTTCCCAAACATTTGGTGTCTAATAAGAAACCAATCCTTAAATACTGTATCTCTGCTAAACGTTCTCGTGCTTCCTCCCGCAGACGTGAAGAACCTGGAGAACTTCCACCTGGTGGAGAGCGTTCAGGAGCAGGTCAACGCGGCGCTGYTGGACTACGTCATGTGCAACTACCCTCAGCAAACGGACAAGTTCGGCCAGCTGCTCCTTCGGCTGCCCGAGATCCGAGCCATCAGCCTGCAGGCCGAGGAGTACCTTTACTACAAACACCTGAACGGCGACGTGCCCTGCAACAACCTGCTCATCGAAATGCTGCACGCAAAACGAGCTTAACGAGGGTGGGGTGGACTGTCCCAACCCTCCCCAAAATGCAGCTGCAAGAACATTTTCCATGTGGCCAAAACAACACGTTTAAACCAAACCAAACCTCCAGCTCAAACTTGACTGTAMGGCGATGAGGGTGGGTGGAGATCCGAGACTCTTATTTATCCTGAGCTCATTTCAAGACTCACAGTGTGCGTAGACATCATATAGATCCCTTTATTGTATTTTTTAAAAGACAACAACAGAAAAGGCAGTACTRAGGGGATAAAAAGACACTTGAAACAAACTCCACGTTTTCATGGCAATATCTGCTTCACCGGGACTATCAGGCTGCCGGGTTGAACCGGAAAAAATTAACAGCCCATCTAAGTGTTTTAGCACTGATGTGTTGGTAACTGCGGCTCCGTACCACTGCCCACCTTTCAAACAGCTTTATAACTACAAGTCAACGACCCTCTCGTGTGTTCTCTCAGTGAAACTGTGTTCCAGTCGTTGTCGGTACTGTAAAGTCAAACGGACATGCAGCCAACCAGGCAAGAGACTCTTACCTACCGCAAGATCTGTTTTCTGAACTCCCACGTGTCGTCTACATCAGTAGCTTTGTCTGGATGAGAAGGGAGGATTGGTGATTTTTTAAAAAAAGGTCTACAATAGGAACAGTCATTACTGAACAAAATGCTATAGGCTTAAAGAAAACAATGTGTTTTTCTTTCGCTTGTCATGGTTACCTTGTTGCCCCCCATATCTCACTCCACATCCCCAGAATCCTCTTTACCTATGTACCTCAGACAGAGCAGTGTTAAATAAAATCATCTAATAAAGTCTGCAAGATAACTGTAATCCTAGCCCTTTTTCTTGGAGGACAAAACACCCATCATTTATATTTTAGAGTGATTCTGGAGAGGGAGAAGGATCGGCCCAATCCTTCTTCCATAGAGAGGAAAGGGAACAACTAATAACTTCATAATCAGTGTTATAAACATGGGGGGAATTGTGATGTCAAGGTTACGTGAGTCTTGCCTTATTTCATCACCGTGCTAGCTAACATGCAGATGTGAATAAGACTATGTAAAAATATATAAATATATATGAAGTATTAATGTTGTAAAAAAATAAAAGAATGAGTAATTCAACAGGTGTTTACATTCATGTGGTCATATGGGAGAGAACTGTGACGAAGCGTAATTTGCAATGATTTCCAAAAAAAAAAAAAAAAAATGAAATCAGCTAAATGAGAAAAGGATTCCTCTTATTTGTTTTGTTTGGTGTGTGTACAGTGTTCAAGTTTCTTTTATAATATGTTTTTGAACAGTACTTAAATTATGTCGTGAGACTCTAAAATCAAAGGGAAATGAGACAATTTTAATTTCTGTGTCTGCTGGCATTCAAACCTTTTTTTAGCATTGCTGTCAAAAGAATATTGTTTCACTTCGCTTTTTTTGTAAATCTATTTCGCTTTTTCTTATTTACAGTTCTTTAACTTTTATCGATGTACAGTATGTCACTGGTTACGCCTAATAATAATGAAGATAATTTATTGCGTCACTGGGTCACCATATTTGTGTTACATGGCGTGAGGTTTCAACGCCAGAATAAATTTGTTTACTGTAGCATGCTCTCTGTTTTGTTTCCATGAGTGGTTTTGAGATGCAGGTCTGGAGCAAAAATACAATTTTTTTATTTTTATTTTTTCCAGTTCTTTAAATGTTCATGCAGATCTGTAAGCATTGTATGTAAGGCGTTGAAAAAATATATATATATTTGTGTTACATCCGTTTTTTTCTTACTGGATAACAACCTGAAAATAATTCTTTCTGGTTTCCTCGTTTACCAAAGACTGCATATTTCCCATGAGTTGTGATTTTAAATCTTGTGCCCAAATTTAGCAGAATGAATCATTTCCCCCTCACTTATAACAGTCTGCTTTTTTCTGAAGCTGAGTTTGTCTTTGTGTAGAATACAGTAGTTGTTGCTGTTTTATCAAAGTGTCCCTTATTCTGCTTCCTGCAACATGTTTATTCATTCATTTTGTTCACATTTTGATAAATGATCGATGCAACTGTCAAAATTATTTTAGTGGCATGTTTAATGTACAGAAAATTCCCTTCAGTCCATTCTTATTCTGAGCTTTACCATCTCTTCACCTCATTTGTTGTGTGTCCTGATCAGACAATCTTCTCTGTTGTTTGTTTAAATCCTGCACAGATACCCTAGAAGGTAAACCTCACACCACATACAAGTCTGCTTCAGCTCTAAGAGCTGTTCTATGAATCTGTAAAATTAGGAGGAAGTGTGTTTGGTGACTCTGCTGTCATAATCCAGCTGTTTGCTGCAAAACAATCAAAACCAGCAGTTTTCACAATCGTTAGGCCTTGCACCCTATGGAGAATCCCTCCCTGCAAGAAAAAGAGAAAGAAAAACAGCTGTTGGGCATATTGGGTGTAGTTGAAGTTATTTTGCCTCCTATGGGATATTTCTCAATTCAAAACTTAAAAAGTTCCAAGCTTCATGATGAGGAGGGAGAAACGTCTAAGACCCAAATGTTTGCAAAGAGTCTTTAGTTTTATTTAAAAAAAAAGAACAATTCAGTTCAATTTATACAAAAAAAACCACAAACAAAACAAAAAGAGAAAAAAATAAAACATTAACAGGTATTTGGCAGAAATATTAAGTTAAATTTCTAAATATTGTTTCTTTTCAATTCATCTGACTTTCACCCACATTGCAGATTTTCTGAATGTTCCAAGTAGCACTTGTTCTTGGACAGATTTTTTTCACATTTTAATAAATATTTATAATACCAACAAATTCTCAGTTTCTCTAAACAGTAATTCTACTTTCATTTCACTTGTTTAATACTAGAAAAAATATATTACATAATAAACTTAACTTGATGGAATAAGACATTATATAGCTTTGACTGAAAAAAATGTAGCTATAAATGTAGTAGATAAAAAAATCCATTTTGTTCAATATCCTTCTGCTGACATCTAAAGAAAATGTATTTGATGGTTACAGATGAAGATCATATAAATGTCCTCAGCAGAAAGATCCTGCAGATAAATCACAGTTACACAATGAGTTCACAAACAGGACAATGTGATTTTTTTTCTGTACAGAAAAAAGGCAAAAAAACATATTATATTATCAAAATACAATGTCCTTGTAGAAAGAAAAAAGACTTAATTAAAAACATTTAAAAAGATTCTGCTTACGGTGAATCCTTCACTGAAAGTACTTCTAAACCGACAAAAAAATCTATTTCTCAGCAACACAGATGAGCACAAATTTCATCATCATTGACCACAGACAATGTATTTCAAAAGGTAGAAAAAGGAAGGCATGATTTAAAACAATAAAAACATTGTACAAAGAGTAGCTACAAATCCTTCTCACAATGAAACAAGAGTCAACATGCAGTCAGCCGTGTCAGTCTACATCTACGAGGCCGTGGCTTTTTGAAGATGAAGGACTGCGAGGAAAACAGGAAGCTGCGAACTCGAGCTCCATGGGAACATGAAGAAGACAGCCAGGTGGTAAAGCATCCACATCTACAGCAGGAGACCTCTGCATGTGGGAAATGACGAGAAACTTTACAGAACTTTAGACGTGAATTTACTTCAAATATAAAATAAAAGGACTATCAACATTTTAGATTTAGTTTATAAACTTTTCACTAAACTCCTACAACAGTACAGATGTCATTCTCAAGTTATTTATAAACACAATTAAAGTACATCTTGTATTCAAACTTTTACTATTACAAAATTGTTTGTAACAAATAAAAACACTATTTTAAAATGTATAAAAACATACAGGTGATGCATCATTTTCATTACATTGTGGTTATTAATTGTTCCTTCCAACTCTATTTCCACTTGCTGTCTGTCTCTTAGATATTTTTAAAACACAGTCTCTAAACTCAATGAGAAATAATAGCTTTTCTGAATTTCCAGAAAACAAAATAAACAGTAATAGATCCAATGTTTCGTTTCAAATCAAACTGCTAAAATACCAAAAAAAGGATAACTAAATATAGGTAAGTAAGTAAGTGATATGAAGACTAGTGTGATTGCTGAGGTAGTACAGATGTTAGAGGTGTTGACATGAAGCATTAAAAATGCCAGTCACAGACAGACAAGCAAGCGGCCAGCTCGATTCCCGGCGCACAGCGTTGCAATTCTCACTTGGAGCTTGGCTTGCAGTGCCTGGCCTCCTGCCTGTAAATGTGTTAAACCTGCTTTCACTCGCTCTGAATTTGTATAAATAATGTATATACATTTATACACAGACTCTAACAAGTGCAGCCTCAGGTGAAAATACTCAGAAATGCACGCTCTGCGCATCCCCGAAGGTGGACATCAGCTCCAAACCAACTAACTCAAAAGATAACCACAGAGAGAAAACACGCACACACACACACACACATAACTTGCCAAAAGCAACACAAACACACAGAGCTAGTTGTTTGCTCTCACATATAGTCCTGTCAGTTTCTAAACAATTTTTCCTTTCCATCACACAAACAGCCCCAAGTTGCGTCTGCCAGTGTTATGTGAAGCTTTTAAACTCTGGAACCACATCACTCATGTTTACAGAGATGTGCTTGTGTGTTTCCCTGCATTGTCAAGCAGAGTCAAAGGGAACGAGACTGCAGGGAGGAAAGAGAAAACAAGAGCAAAGCTTTGGGAAGTGTTCCAAGATTGTGGGAAAACGTGAAGCCGAATGCTGGAATAAATATATTTGCTATGAAGTCCAGTTTGAGGCAGACCCTGAGGCTCAACAGCTCACATGGCGGCTTGGCATAAAGGCTACCACAGGACACCAATCAGGGACTTTAGAACAGATCACAGCACAGAGTTTACTCTATATTATTTGTCTTTAATAGAATTTGTTTTCTGGATTATAACAATAAACTTTACCATAAGCTTTAAAATATCACAAGGGGAAGTTTTTCTGCTGGTTTTACTAACTAAAACATAAAATAAAGTAAACAATCTGGTGAAAAATATAAAGATGCTAAATACTTTTCTGAATTAAGGGTTTAATTATACCAGCAAAATCTTTGCAAAACATTACTTTTTTGACATTTTTAAATGATTCCCCTTGCAACTTATATTCGTTATAAAATTATCTGTTTATAAAGTATAACTAGTGGACATGCACAGATGAAGAGCATGAAGAAAAAAAGAAATAAATAAAACCTAAACAGAACAACTCTTCAGAGAGGCAATTAGCCAACACTCTAATCACTTACACCAAAAAGCAACTGGGGGACCCATTGTTCAGCGGCCTGATGGACAAACTTTAAAAATGTAAAGATCAAATTATTAAGCAAGCATTGTTAAAGGGAACACTCACGATTATTATGCAAAAGCTTCACTATGGCATGCAAAACAAATACACTAAGGTTCGGAGATGGAAGGGTTCGAAGGCCGCTGCCGTTTCATTTCAAAGCATGCATTATACATCATTGTGCATAAAGAGGAAGCCTACAGCATTACAGTGTTTTTTTCTACAATGATTATCCTTTATTAGTCATTAAAAAAGATCGAGAGAGGGGGAAAAAATAAAACTTTTAAGCACCTGAACCTCGCTGCCAGCATTCCATTAATTGCCTGCACAAAGGGTAGAGCCTTCGGAGATTTTTCAATTTCAAAAAATGAGGAGCATGCATTCACTCGTGCTCATGTTATACCGGCACTTAAATCCTACAGAGCTCACATAAAAAAGGACTCAAGGTTGCATCCAATTGAAAGTCTCCAACTACAGCCACTTTAGAAATCCATTTAGCAGGCGGGGGGTTAGAACGTCTAATTCAAACAGAGTCGTCCTGTTAAAATGGTTGCACCAATATCTTTACAAAAAAAAAATGAAAACCACACACGCACACTTTCCTCCTGTGTTTGTTAGCCTCCATTGTGGGAAATATGAACCTGGCTCATAGAAAGCTGGCAAGACACAAAGAATTAATCTTGCCAGACCTCAGCCAAGTGGCGAAGGTGAATGCTGGTGAATGACTGCATGTGGAATCTTGACCTTTCTTTAGACAAAATTAAAAGCAGCGCTCCGTGGAAGTGACAAAAAGAGGTATGTAGTGTCTGTAATAACGTGACAAAATACATTTCAAAACACTGTTCATCAACTTCAGAATCCCATTAAAACATTACATTTTAATGTAGTCTGACCTCTGAGCATTTTCATATTAGAAACAATAAAAAAATCATTTAAAAACTATCAGGGAAAAAATACACAAAATGTACGAAATAAAGTTTAACTTGCTGATTTGTGTTTGAGCCACTACTTGCCCCTACAGTTTACACAATTTGATAGTGTAATGTTCATTTTAGTTGCTGTTAATACATGAAACATGAAAAGCCTCCAGCAGAAAAGACAGCAGGATACATGAGCAGTTACAAGTGCCTCGCTGATTTTCAGATTAAAGTTTTGCTCATGCTCATATTAATTACGCTTGAGTTCTATTAAGTTACATTTCAAGTGTTCTCTAATTTTACAGATACGGAGCTCAAATTTGGTGTAATAGCTGATGTTCAATCCTAACACACAGACAGTAAGCAACACTCTTTAATAAAACAATGCATTATGTTTCACAGTAAACACTATGTTAACCAATGATCTTATGAACTGTTGGACAGATTTTACTGAAACTTTCAGAAAGTATTCAATGGATGTACATTTACAACTGGTTGAGATCTGGAATTAATCCAAATCAAATGGCTGCCACAGCTCATTGCCAATTTAAAAATGTTTATAACTTACTTTGAATAACATAACTTTGTTATTTGAAGTTTAAAGTTTGTGTGGTAGTAGCTGAGAGTCATTCTCAACACAGTCTTCAAAGACTTATTTTGAACTGAACATCTCACAACATGTCGATGGCATATGTCTCTTTAATTGATTAAATTGCCACTAATATATGGCTGCAATTTTCAAGAATCCTTATGGTTTAACTGTGAACAGTTAGAAGTTTTTGGGGTTTTGTTTGGGCTAATCTTAGGTTGAGTGTTATTAAAATGCCAAGYTCTGCTTTGTAAGGCAGCTTTAGCCCTTATTACTGGACTATGACCAAGTCCTAATTAGAACTACTTTATGTTTTGCCTCAGATCACACCATTGTTTCAATCTGCATTTATTCCTGAGTCAAAGCAGATATCCCTATTGTTTTAAAACCACCACATGAAACACTTTATGATGAGGACATTTCAAACATACTGTACTATATGAAATAAACCTTCTTATAGTTACTGTAAACATTGTAACACTTAGCTGATTTGTTGCCAATTGTTTCTGATTAGCATGAAACAACCAAAAGTCACTTCAAATCTGTGAAATCACTAGAAGCTACATAAGCTTTAGGGAGTCAGGAGAATAGTGTCAGGACAGAGCATTTGTCATCCATGAACACCACATAACTACCAGCTATAAAATAAGTGGGGAGGTTAAAAGAAGAGGCAAACAATTGGCTGGGTTAGACAATCACTGCAAAGGTGCCCTTGAGCAAAGCATTTAAAAGCCCTGCAATAATGGAGCTGCTCAGAGATTGATTGTGTATGCATAAATGTAGAAAAGGCTGCCTGGAAAATAAAATACAAGCTAATGATGTTTACATTTATTCTAAGAAGATGATGTTCCACGCATATCATTCATCATTATGAGGAAAACACAAACAGGGAAAGCAAGCAAAGCTCTGGAGGTCAGGAGCAACAATGTTTTCATGGTAAAAAATATCCAAAAAAGAATAAAAACAAAAACTGCTGATGTAAGATTGACAGTAAGTGAATTTTTGAGTCCGTGTCAACTTGTCAGCATGGCGTTTATGTTGACAAGTGCTTTTTCACAGAACGTGGCAGGGTCTAACAACACAGATCAAACTCAAGAGCCTAATGTAAGGTGAGTGATGTAAGGTGAGGTTGAGGTGAGAAGGTGTGAAGYCTGAGGCTGTGGACACCAAAGCACAGGGCAGCAGTTTGATCAATATGGACCAGCCAGACCTGCATGAGATCACTGTTGTAGAAAGCAGACAGAAGCCTCCAACACTGCACAATGTGTTCACAATTATTCTGAATAATTACTCTGTTTATAATTAGTCGTGATCTTCATGTCACTGCTAATATCTGCTGTCAAAGTTTTGTGAATCAGTAGGAATTTCCAGCCAAATATGAAAAAAAAAAAAACATTGAGAGAGAGAGAGAGTGTGTGTGTGTGTGTGTGTGTGTGTGTGTGTGTGTGTGGTGGGGGCAAGGTATGGAAAATTTGGAAATTTATACTAAGTCCAAATTTGTTGCTAGAAGGGATTCCTTCAAATTAAAGACTTAAAGATGTTTTTAAAGCTGAACTGAATAATTGGCTTATCCTTTGAATAAAATCTTCCCTTTTTTTTCCTTTTCACTTTGAAACTTCTGTTTCAAAAACAAAAAAAGGATAAAAGTAATAGCATTGTAAAATTGTAAAATATTTGCTTTGGGATATAAACCAGTGTGTTTTATCAACATTTTCACTTTTTTCTTCAATTCACACCCAGACTGACATTCATAACTGATAAAAATG